ACGAAGGGAGTGGAACAACTACCATCAATGCAGGCATGCAATGCAGAAGAGCTGGTTTGCTTTTGACAACTTTTGAGGTCAATCATCTCCACAAGGCTACTGTGATGCATCGAAAACTTCATTCTGCATTCTTTGAAGCACAACCTTTATGATTTTGTGCGATTGCATGAAAAATTCGGTGGTGTCCGGACGCGTTATATCCTTATCTATTACTGTCAGCGGCAAGCAGTTTTCGAGCATACGACCTGAAATGCGTTTGAATTTCGCGATGGAAAACACTGTGATGATCGGAGCTCCAAGAAATGCCTTACCATTGTCAAGTGCAAAACGCTTGTTATGTCTTTTGCACGCAATAATGCAGACGATACGAGGCGAATAGTTCTCAATCCCTTTAGTTGTTTTAGCGTAGCGACGCATGCCGACACGGAATGCCTCAATTTCACCTTCCATTACCTTAAATACTACTACTACCTTAGTTACATATTTAAAATATTTTCTAAAAAAACACATTAAAATTTTAGTGGTCGCCACGGTGCAGTCATTTCGTGGATGCATTGAAGGCTTTTCCTAAGGTATTCAATTTATCACCAGAAAAGAAACGTTTCGTCCTCGGGAAGCTTCCAGCAGCAAAATAAAAAATAAAGATCCGCTTGAGCTTTTTGTGATCTCACCATTCTGAACTGTCCTTCCGATACCCCGTCACGGGTGATAATCACTGTTTCGGGGAGCGTGTTACGATTCAGCCAAAACAGGTTCAAGATCCATCCTATGCGCTCTTCGAGAATGGAGCCGGTCACTCGCTCTTGCCGAGGTTCTTGATACGCGTAGTCACCAATGAATGTCTCGGCGCAAACAGCGCCATTGAAACTTATCTGAAAAAAACGTCAGATGGTGGTATCATTAAAATAAAGCACGAAGCAGTTTACTCTGATACAAAGAAATCCAAAGACAACGACGAACTCCAAGAACACTCGGCTGAGATGGCGGTATTTTCAGTCTCCGCTCGTATTTTGACTGCGGCTCCGGGTGGCATACATCATAGCCAATGATCAGTGTCTTCCCCATTGTAATCCATTTGTTGCCACTGAAACAATGAAATTTGAATAAAAACGGCTCTGCGGAGCTGCTAACTGGATTAGGGGACCTGAAGAAGGCTTACGCAAATGATTCGGGTATCACGCCGTAGCACTGCCCGAAATTCTTGCAATTCAACTTATTCACGATATTTTCCAGCGTAGCGCTCTTCTTTGGCACTTCGCGCGCCCGCATCCCATGTATGTGCTGTGTGATAATGCGATAAAGCGCTTCGAACAGCTTCAGATCTTCTAAATTTTTTGCCATTTCATTGTGATGAACAAACATGTTGCAAAAGAAAGAAGGTGCTAACAGGACGAAGTTGGTGACTAAACCTTCGTGTTGTCCACCTGCCCATCGATCCCTTATGATTTGCAATTGTCCCGTCTCCTAACTCGAGTTCCTCCCTCCGTGATATTTAAAGTAGTGGTTAGAAATGAAAGGTTGATTGTTTTGTGGCACCAAAAAATTGTGCGGCGACAGCTTAAAGCTGCTGCCGAACATCTCGCGGTTCGATGTTTCTTTTGTGTGTGTTTTGCTTTGTGCTTATACGATTAAAATTTTATTTGCTGTTCAGAGCGAGTGTCACCCTACAACTGCTCAGGCGTCCGGCTGCCCTTCTCCTCGTTACAAACACTCTCTATGAATCCTTTTTACAAACTGTACAATCCAAGTAAATGTGTGCTACCCAAAGTGACTTTTCAAAAAGTTTTCAAGCATAGAAAAAGAAACCGTGGGTGCCGTCGCGGGAATCGACATAAATCACAAACGGCTGCTGGTTACGGTACATGTCACGAATCTGCTTGAAGGAGTTCTCCAGATCTTCAAACGCCACATTTTTGATGATTGGATCAACCATTCTGATTCCCCTTTTACGGCATTCACGCAGCAGGCAATCAGTGAATGTCCTGAAACAGCTTTTAAGACTACTATGAAAAGTTATCAAAAATATTTGAGGGATTGCAACTCTCCGCCATTCCGAGCGAATACAAAACGCGGTGACAACGGACACGCGCAGCAGTTCTGCGCATACCGCTGTTATGCCAACACAGTCCCTCGGAATGGCATTTAGTCAACGTCCGACAAATAAGACTTTAAACGTGAAGGTTTTTCAAGTCAGGCTGTATGAATGACTAGAAATTTGTCCAGTGAACTTAATCGAAAGAAGATGACCAGTGGATCAACCAGTGCTTTCAAAAAAAGACAAAGCAACCTGCATTTTTCTAAGTTTTCTAAAGATGGCACTCTGTCCACCGGTCCACGGAAAGCTTCTCCGGCGAGGGGAAAGTGCGCACTGCTACGCTTGGTGCTTTATCTTTAGCACATTTGTTCGGTAGAACTTACAAGACCATTTTTTCATCTTTTTGTTCGTCGTAAAGAATGAACCAGCAGCTGAGCTGTGCCACTATGAGATATTCCTTGCCGGTCATCCGCCAGTTCGCCTGCAAAGTTTAAATTTTTCACTTCTCCAGCTGCATACAGCTCCAAAGCACCGGCACCGAAACCAACACAAGTTACTTACATTTCTTGAATCAATGTTGATGATGCCACCTCTGCCTCCCGCATCGGAATATATAACTTGTGGCGCACCCCGACGATGACCTTCAACCTGAAATCACACGATATTTGGGATGCTGGAAAGGCACTGTATTCATTCAGTAGCAAAACACAGAGGCGGCAGAAACGTGCTTCCACTTACAGTGAGCGGTGTCGAGCTCACTCGCACTCCAAAAGCTGCCATGAATGGATTGAAGCGCCTGGAATTGTCAAGATCCAATGCTTGCAGATTCCGATTGATGTCCCGGAAACGAGTTTGCGGTAATACGGCGGATTCCTGCAGAATTTCGACCTTGCTAAGTTATATGGGAAAATCCCAGTTAAGTTCCACTTATTTTCACAGCCATTAACATCAAAAAGGCAAATAAAAAACAGTTTCCAATTTTTCCGAATTCCCACGTTCGGACAAGCCGAACTTACCCGCATCAAATTCAACGCATCCGAGCGTGAGGTTCCAGTAGATCTGCTTAGGTGCAACTATCTCCACAATGTCCTGAGCAATGCACACAGAATCCTGCCTC